CACTCCTTCTTAGTTTTCTTTTATGTGATTATTTTTTTTTGTGTTTTTTTTTTTTTCCTACTCCCTGAGCTGTGTGCTCATTTTGTTCTTTGGCTATCTAGCCATATCCTCTCCAATTTTTAGGACATGTGCTTTATGTCCGTATATACTTTTAAAAATTTTCTGTTATTAAAAATTTGGATCTAGTCTGTCAAAATTTTCAAACATTCACAGCAGTGTTGCCATAGTGTGTTTTATACATTTGCTCTTTTTTTTTGCATTACATTCATTTTATATTATAGGAGGAAATGTCTTTATTTTCTTCTTGTAGTAGCTTTGTGTAATTCCTGTGGTTTTTCATTTCTGGCTATTACTTAGTTTTTGATAAGGTGTATTCACTGGAGCTTCATTGGTGAGAAGAGTAAAGATCATGGTCAAGGCTGTAAGATTTCCACTTAAGGGAGTGAGATGATGTGAGAGCGAGCAATTTCTTTTAACGTTTGCTTTTCCTAACAACATTTGACAATGCAGAATTAGTCGCAATGCTGAGCTTTTCTTCTTCACTGGCTTGATAAACAGACGTTGTCCTTCAGACATGACTGGTCAATATGTTTCTTGAGACTTAGTGCTGCTTTGGCTCTAGGAAAGTTACTGTTATCTTATTGTTCCAGAAAGGGGACCTTTGTTTTTACTTCTCAGTTTAGCCAGTGATTATGAAGAACTGTTCTTTGGGGCAGTCTCTGAAATCTGCAACTATAGGCATCCTCTTTCCATGGCACCGTTCTTGGATCTTCAATGCATTTATTAGCCCTTCCCTGATTTTTTTATTCTAGGTTATATAATCTTATGTGTAAAACTGACTGGCAATGAGGTGCCCAGATATTTGGTTAAACATTAGCTCTGGATGTGTCTGTGAAGATGCTTTTGGATAGATTAACATTTGAACTGATAGAGGAAGACATTGCCCTCCCCAGTGTTACATGGGCCTCATCCAATGCATTGTAGGACTGAATAGAAGAAAAGGCTGAGTAAGAAAGAATTTTTTCTCTCTGCCTGACATTGAGCTGGGACATTGATCTTCTCCTGCCTTTGAATTCTGTCTTTAACTAGAACTTACACCATGGACTCTCTTGGTTCTCAGG